ATTCTTTTATTATGGTGTTTTTTTAATATACTGCATTTCGAAAAGTTTTTTTTAATGTCTGATATGAAGTTTGTTTATGACTTTGAAGGACTTAATTTAGCATTTTGTGTACGGGGAAAACTTATAACCTAGTTGAGGTGGATTTCCTTTTGGTTGTATGAAGTATTTCCATTTTTAGCAAATCACACATTATTGTGAGTCCAGTTCAACGAAATAAAACGTTGTAAACGAAGATCTTTAAAAATTTAAGACGAAAAAATTATCGATAAGTTAAAACGAAAAAATAAATTCTTCCCATCACTAAATTAATAACTTATACGTAAAAATAAATCAAATATAAACTGTTGCGCTTTTCAATAGTTGTTTTTAAAATTATTATTATTCGAATATCAACGAAAAGAAACCTTAAATAAACTTATTTATAAAACTAACCATACCGCAGATCGGAAGAAAAAGAAATTAAATGAAAACTAGTATAAATAACCTAAGGCGGATTGCCGACATATTATGTATTGTATTTAATCAACTAAATTATTATTTAATCAGGAATAAATTCAGACTTCCGTCTCTCAGAAATAATATAACCACAAATAAATATTTATAACAATAACGTAATATTTGAAAAGAAGAATATATTTATATTATATAACTCATATTTATAAATGAAAATGAAAAATTTGAAAATTGAATTTATAAATCAAGTCTGATTCACTCCCGATTAAGTAAAGATTAAAAAAGTAAAAGCGTACTAGTATAAGACTATTCAGCCACGTTCAAATATAAAAATAATTAATTATAATAAACTAAAAACAAATTAAAACTAATAATTGAAACGGTAAAGAGCTCGATTTTCGTTTTAAAAATAAACAAACCTATAATATAATTTGGCATTATATACCGTAGTTATTATAAAATAAAAATAAACCTATAGAAAAGTTGTCAAACTATTTTTTAATGTTCCTATTATAGTTTTTGATCGGATTTATTGCCACCTTACAACTGGGGATTGATATTTAATGAAAGTACTTACTTATCTTTCTATTTATATTTTTAACTTAGCAAGTAAAATCTATAAGAGAGAAAGGGGATCAAAATGCAAACTCATTCTAAAAACTATGTAGAAACTATGTACATTATATCAGAACACGTAACGATACGGCGCCATATCCAAGATGGCGGCTAAAAGAAAAGACTCTATGATTTTATCACTCAGTTGACGAGTAGCCGTTTACGACTTTAATGATAATGCTAAAATAAAAAATAATTATCAAAGAAATTATCAACTATGAAAATTATATGTTAAATTATACGAAGCTACGATTTAATTATAGTTTTCTACGTTAATGCACGTGCCCTTACAGAAAATGTATTTTAGATAATTTAATATATTTTATTTATCACCATACTTAATAAAGTAATATAAAAAAATTATATGAAGTAACAAAGACGACGAAAATCTTATCTATGTTAAAATAATGTAAAAAATATTTAAATGAAAAATGAATGAATTAATGAATGAAAATACAATATCAGAAATGTTAATAGAAAAAAAGACAAAAACAAATGATGAAATAGCTAAAACATAAACAAAATAGTTGTTCAGTAAAAGCGCGCGCACTGAAATGTCACATGTTATTATATCAAGCAAATGTATAATAATTATAACCCATACAATACACATACAGTCCAAATCTCATCAAAATTACACACACACACATATTTTTATATTCCAAACTTTATATAACACTACATTTTGAATAACAGGTGTGAAGACCTTTTCCTATATATAATTTTATATTAAGTTGCTTAGTACAAATTGCATTGCATAGTTCTCCCAATATATATACAACTTATATTATATAGGACTTAGATTTTTGCGCCATATTTACTTATAAACTATTTATAATATAGATTCGTACACTCACGTTCATACTTAAAATAATATATTGTTTTTTTTTTAAATAATTGAGTCGTGTTCCTTTGTATATTGAAAATAAAATAATTTATATGATTATTTCATAATACAACTATTATTTTTAAGAGTTGTAGAAATAAAAAATATTATTAATTATGTTCTTGTTATGGTTCACCAAATTTTAAATATAACAGTATGAAGTTTTGACAGCGCGCATTATCACTTCACATTAAACTTATAAATATAATTAAAATTTAACTCAAGACACATACATATCACTCAAGAGCTTTAAAAATAAAACTAATAATATTTAAACTTATATAATACGAAATAAATTGTACTCTCTAAAAAGATCACACGACGAAAAATATATCTTAATACGAAAAATATACGTAAAAACGAGTTTCACCAATTCCGACATTGCAAAGGATATATGTACAATCCTTAAAAGGACCATCTCTTAAAGTTAATATTTTTAGGATATAGCCATATAAAAATAGGTATTATATAATAGGTCTAAAAATAATTACATTTAAATCACGCACGCACCACCCTTATCCCTTAAAAAATTGAAAAGACGAAAAATAAAAACTAAATCTGACATTTCATGTCGTCAATAATAAATTCGAATTCGAACTATTGTCACGCAGAATATGCGGTTATTTACAAAAACGAAAACATAAAACTTATAATAAAACATTTTGGCGAAACATTTAAATTTTTGAAATTTTGATAAAAAAAATAAAAATAATTATATAATAACTTATTTAAAATTTTGGCCGAAATAACAAATCAACAAATGACTAACTCAATATTGATAGAATATAAAGATGTTTAACTATAGCTAGCCCATATTCTTAGACTCACATTATTGTTTTGTTCACATTTTAATACAAAACTTACTACGTATTGTCTTTAAACTGTCAAACACCAAGCGGTCACCGGTGACCGCGACCTATTGTTCTTTAATTGTGTCTATAAAACCGGTACTCGACGAGTTAAATACCTATTTTCTATAAGTATAGAATCAAATATAAATATTATCAAATATTATGTGACCATTAGCAAGTGCTATAATATTTGATATAAAAAAAATACGGAATGAGATGAGGACAGTTAAAAAATGAATAAGAGATGATGAAAAGTTACAATAGAAGGTTTAATAAAACACTGAGATCATCTCTGTACTTTTTAAAAGAATCTGATTCCAAATTTTTCTTAGCTGTACCAAATTGGTCCACATTTCGATCCATATTTTTTTCAAACACGCATATAAATTTTCATTGAAATTCAAATACTTGTACTTGTATCCCTCTTTATGACGCTCATCATAAGGGAATATTGAAAAATAAATTGGCAACACTCATAATCTTGTAGTATTGTGAATCATCAATATCACAAAATGGATGCCATTTTGCTAAATAGATGTCGTTATTATGAAATCTAACCAAAACCGAGTGTTATATTGTAATTCGCTTTATGAAGCAATAATAATATACAGGTGTTCCTGTATATTATTTATTGGTATATACAGGTGTTTCTGTATATTATTATATTACTATATACAGGTGTTACTGTATATTATTATATTGCCATATACAGGTGTTGTATATTATATTGCCATAGTGCTAGATAATTGAGCTAAGTTGAGTAAACATGTTAAATAAGACCTTAAATCGAATGGTACATAGAAGAGATGAAACAGTGGCATACAGATGACAAATTATGACAATATAATATATCATATATTGTGACAATATATTATATTAAGTATTTTAAGATTAGAACTTGAATTCAACACTCTTTGTACCACTTCGAATAGTTTTCAAGATGGAAGTTAGTGTTTTAAAGTCAACTTATCTCAACTATCTCCCTACATTTGATTTGAAATACTCATGGTATAGTTTTAATCAGATAAAACCCTTGTGAACGAATTTTAACCGGATTCAAACTAAACAAGATTAAACACTCATAAATTGGTTATATCCGGATCAATCCAGTATATATCAGTAAAATCGTTTGCCTTAATGAATAAACCGAAAAAAGGACAAGTAAGGCAGTGTAGCAGATTGTAAAACAAATCCCAGGGACCATCGATAAGCGAATTTGAACTTTATAGGCACAAAATTAGACCTATAGTGAATAGTACAAAAAAAGCTTGAAACAGTTTAAGTACATGTGCAATTTGTACTTTTTAATAGGAACATGATTTCAATTCCTTCTGTACTATTACAAACAGTTAATAGAAGATGGAATGAGTGCCTTTAGGATCATTTTCGCTTTAACTCTCAACACTCCATCCCATAAAAAGTGCTACTTGTCCTTGATCGGTTACATCTTCTTAAAAATACACCTTAATCGTGTTTGAAAAAGGTTCAAAATTGATTGTCTTAAGACAGCAGTGTTTTTGTAACTGGCATAGATGATAATATTCCATTTACGAAATCCTGATGACTGATGGCAAAATAAACCTTAATCATGTGAAAATAGGTTCAAAATTGATTGTCTTAAAGACTGCAGTGTTTGTCGCTGGCACATATCAGATGATAATACTTCTTCCATTTACGAAATCCTGATGGTTGATGGCAAAATAGTCCTTAATCATGTTGGAAAATGATTCCAAATTCATTGTCTCAATGACCGGAATGTTTTGTTACTCGCACGTAGCAGATGACACCTTATCCTGATGTCAAAATAGACCTTAAAAGGTTGTCTTTACGATTGCAATCTTGTTGGTGCCACATAAAAGATAATAATATTCCATTTACAAAGTCCTGCTGATTGCCGAGTGCAAAATAGAGCTTATTCGTGTTGGAAAATGATTCCAAATTGGTTGTCTTATCTTGTTGCTCGCCCATGGCGATAATTATCTAATCCTGATGTCAAAATACACTTTAATTACGTCGGAATACAGTTCAAAACTGATTGTCTTAACAGCGTCTTGTTAATGACTATTATTTTCCATATTCAAAGTCCTGATGTCAAAAAACCGTCGAACACCAAAATAATGTGAGTCTTCATTCCTTCATCATTCCTTACATAATACTTATATATAGGGTATTAAAAGGGGTAAAACTATTAAAGGTTATGTCAAAAAGGATTTACTCTCCTCCTGTTTCACGATGCCCATCTCCTGGAGCACTGCCTCCAGACCCTCCGGCATCCTGCCCTGGTCTAGCTCCAAGTTCCACTTGTAATACTGGAAAAATAGAAACATATTATATTAATATCTGCTATAGAAATTATTTCTATCTAAGATCCATCTGTTCTCTTCTTCTCCGTAGACAGACAGCGAGAGTGGAGAAAACGGGGGAGCAAAAAGTGTGAAGGGAAATAGAGTGGGTAAGAAGGGGAGAGCGAGATATAGTTTGCTATTGTCGGTGAAGGGGTGTTCAGGAGAGGAGGTATAAGGGAGACCGAAAAGGAGAGAAAGCGAGAGCGAGACGGGAGAAGAGGAAAGCGAGGGGTTAAAAGGGGGAACGAGAGAGCCAAAATGGAGAACAAAAGATGGTAAAGGGGAGAAAAAGAGATGGAAGGCAGGCAAGCGTACATATGCCACGGTAACCGCTTACCATCAGGTGGGCCGTGCGCTTTTTTGCCACCGTCGTGGTATAAAAAAATATATATGGAGGCTGAAAAGGGAAAGTAAGTTCTATTATGAACTTTCCTTACGTCTCGCTCTTAATAGACCAGACAACACAACAACATGAATAGTTCATATATCCTCCCTCACTATTTAGTATCTCAGGTTGATAGCTTACAATTACAACGTTTATATCAATAACAATAACCATCTGCTTTTTACTAACAAACTGATTGATTATATCCATATCTATTCATAGTCGTAATTTATTAAACATATTCTAATAAGGTTTAATGAGGAAAAACTGTGCTAGATTTGTAACCTTGACTTATTTATTTATTTATTTAATAATTTATGTACACACAAATAGCACAGAGGGTAACACATATATAAAATAAGGGTACAAAGGTGCTACTTATTCCTATTGGAATTTCTTCCAGTAGACCTGAGACAGGAAATGTAACTTAATTACCAACTTTTATAAAGTCTAATAAATGAACATTACGAACATAACATAACATCGGAACTAAAAATAAAAATTACTAACTGTTAGCTACGACTTTAAAACGCAGTACTCTCTGATTCATTTAATTTTAAATTAAAACAAAGTATATTCTAGGGGACAAATGTCCTGTGAGACGTGTTGCCAGCGACGTCGGGTGAAGTAGCGCGACGTTGCCAGACTTTGATCGACATGTCTTTTTTTTATGGGACAAGCCCGCCACAACCTCCCAAAACCGCTGCAACTCCTGTAAGCCAAGATCTACAGTATATACAACTATGAAAACACCGGAACACTGACGTCCGGCGCGTCCCAGGGACATGAGTAACTGTCTTGGTTCCCGCAACGAAGTGAATCAGAACATATTATAAGTGAAGAAGAAGAAAAAACTATGGTTTCCACTTCCCTCGGTGCATTATTGCAGGAGATAGAATGAATTAAGCCTAAAGGCACAAAGAAGAGTCGACATGTCTATCAACATCAACGTCTCTGTGGACATAAGTTGCGCGTTGTCACCGTATATGTCAGTCGACATCCGCCGGCTTCGCACGACATTTCACCGATACATTGCTTAAAGTATTCTCTAAATATAAAACACAGACACTGTGGTCCAATTCTCGCAAGTTCAGATAAAATATTCGAAAATCGGGTTTCAAAATTCTCAATATCTCCAATAATTAACCTGGCATTGTGCTTAGTCAATGAGATTTATAACATACATAACAAAACAATGTTTGTACTTGCGAAGTGTAATACACTATCTATTATTAAAAAATGCGCATTAATGAAATAATAAAAAGAAAATCACATACAAACCTTATCCAGCTCCTTCCTGAGCGCCAGAACTGACCGCTCCCGGTCCGCCACCAGCTCCTCGAGGTACTGGTAGCGGAGCTTCTTGCGCGCGCGACACTCCCGCGCAGACTGCCTGCTGCGTTCTGCTTAAACATGCGCAGGAGTAACCAAGTCAGGCTTGCGGTCTCAGTAGATATACATAGGATTTTTTTTGCGAATTTCAGACTAATGGTTGAGGGAAAATGAAGATATTCTGAACCCAAAGAATAACATAACATCATCACGCCTTTTATCCCCGAAGGGATAGGCAGAGGTGCACATTACGACACTTAATGCCACTGTACAATGTAACACCCACTTTTCACTATTTATGTTATGAGTCCCATGTAATAGGGGGTGCCATATACTGGGCACATTTCCAGACTCCGTGCTACTACTGAGATTTTTAAAAACCCAGTAATACTTTGCCCGACCCGGGAATCGAACCCGAGACCTCTTGACCAGCAGTCGCACTTGCGCCCACTCGGCCAACGAGGTAGTCTTAGCCCAAAGAATAACTTAAGGTAAAAACTAATAAGAACCTACTCAAAGCTTTTAAAGTGACATCAAGCAAAACCAGTGTATGTGATTAATCGATGTTACTATCTGTAAAGATAGTCACACAGCGGTTCTTAGAAGTATATCTAATTAGAAGATAACTACGTGAGCAGATTTTGTAATATGAATTGTTTTGTTTGACTGTACGGCTATTATCTGTCTGAGTATTCTTATATCTATATGATATAGTAATTATATCTATTGACGATCTCGTCTATCATTGTGTATGCGATTCCTTGAAATGGTTCCATCTTTATGAGTATTTTAAATATTTCGGTTCTCACTTCATGAGCATTCTAAACCCATGAAGTGAGAACCGAAATGTTTAAATAAATTCGGTATTATTTTCATACTTAAATAATTAAGAAGAGAACTTACTCTGACACATATTATAATTACCTTTTCTGTATTATAAGATACAAAATCAGTCACTAATAGGATAACTATAATACTAATATCAAACCCCTAATAATATTCTGTACACCCCTAAATGCGTCCGCAGCATGATAGACGCATCTTTAATTGAGGACTATCAGACATGCTCATTACCAAACCGACAATTAAACTGTCAAAGAACAAACGAATAAACGTACAGACATCTCATTTAAACAATGCATTCTATATTTGAACACATGTTATCTCCAGTGAACCGAATATGGTGTCCCAATTTAAACAAATGATGGTACTTTGACCTTAATTTCTCTATTTCGAAACATCTTCACGGTGTAAACGCTATTCATACTAGATTGGAGAATGTATGAACAATGTTATGTTAGCGGCTTGTGAGTATACCTCGCTATAATGTAGGTACTGTATGCTGTCTTTAAGTATTTTGTTTTAGTTTACGTCACGATGTTGTCTAGTATATTTAATATTTTGAACGCTCACTAGCTTTGCTGTGGATCTAAATCTTCCCATTAGAAAAATCGCTTTAGTTTAAGAATGCACCAGTTCAGCTGTTAAGCTGATGACTATGATTTTGGACATTCATCAACAATTGGTTTCCGTCCTTTACTGAACATAGCCTTTTGCAATAACACACACTATTTTTTTATGAGGGTGGAAATCATCCAAGGGCCTCTACCGCCCGGGTGAGGCGAAAGGGAGTGTCAGACTCTTACTGACTAAAAAACTATCCCGTTCCTACTGCTGTACGTCTAACCGGAGCCCCGGGAACCCGTTAAGTCCTCCGCAGCTCCGTATAATATCGCACCACTACACAGGATAATTTAACGTTAAAATCTAGCATTGTAGTTTCCAATTTATAGAAATCCTTACCTAGCTTGGCCTTCATGTCCTGTTTGTCGAGCTGCGCCTTGCGGCCAGGCCTGCGCCCGCGCTTACCCCCCTCGCGCCTTTCCCCGCCCTCCGCGCCCGACGCCCCCACCGACCCGTACACTCCACCGCCCAGCGACTCCTGGAAATAAAGAAATGGCACATAAATGTCTGAAAAATTTACTGTTCTGTTTGTTGTCTGGTGGTTTTTGGTCTGTCAGCAAGTTGTCTCAGTATAAACCGAGGTTCTCAGTTTTCGAAAGGTTTCAGTAGTAGCAAGATATAGAACACTTTACACTTCTTCTGAAGTAAAGAAGGTGTGTTTAAATCGCGCCTACTGTTCCTATGAAATGATGAAAAGCATGATAATAGAAAATGTATAATTTTCTAAGAAAAATCACCTTTACCTACATAGACGACTTAAACAGAAATAATAATAAAGGTCACAATAAAATAAACCAGTCAATTGACGTTTCAATCAATCAATCTATCAATCAATGATTCTAATTGAATTTCAAAATGGTAGCAGATATATAACATAGTGTCTCGACACACTTACTACTTGGCAATGGCATAGACAATGATCTCACGACATACACGAAACGCAATACGAGATCTAAATATGTCTCATTCATGTGCTATTTATAGGATTTTCTTAAAATTTTCCTAAGAAACGTGTAAGTTGGTATCTAAGGAAGGAATGGCAGAAATGGCGTCGGGTGATGGCAGATTACAATTATGACCAGAGGGCCAAGCACGAATAACTATCGCATTCGTATCGTAACAGTATCGAGCGAGTTAAGCGTTCTGATTGGTTGGTTCACTTGAGCCGGCCAATCAGAGCGCCGAACGCGCTCGTTACTATTACGTTACGAATGCGATAGTTATTCGTGCTTGGCCCTCTGCTTTGCTTTTCACTGCGAGTTTCGTTACTCGTAAGCAGCGTTGGTTCATAAATCACGATTACCTATCTGTTTAAAAATCATTAACAGTTTTTTTTCTATACTTAATTAGGTCGACGTTTGGCCACCATCTCGCGTGGTGGTAAGCGATGATGTGGCCGAAGATGGAACACGTCTACCTATGAGTTCATATAATGCCTTCAAGGAACTTCTTCAAATAGGAAGGTACCTATACCTATAACAGAAGTAATAAGGATGAAAAGCACAACTAACTAAGAAACTTAGTGACGGCACGGTTAGTGTGGTAGCTACAACGCAACGTGTCGCGGTTTCGATTACCACACGGACAACTCTTTGTGTGATCCACAAATTGTTGTTCCGTCTGGGAGGCATGTGTATGTGAACTTGTATGTTTGTAAACGCACCCACGACACAGGAGAAAATCCTAGTATGGGGGCATTTATTAAAGAAATAAAGTCAAAGCATCTGATTCATAAAAAAATGACTTTTGAAACGTTGAAATAAAATTAGCCGAAGTTAATTGTTTAACCCGTCGTGTGTCTAAACGTGGATCCACGCGAGGCACAAGCAGTTAATCCAAAATATAGATTCGTAAGAAGAAAGTCGAGCAAGCAACTATCCTACTATCACAACCTTTGGAAACAAAGACAGATGTTATATTCGCTACTTATACCCATACATACACGTTCAGCAGTCATAATTGCACAACATAGCAAGTCACTACGTTATCAAACAAATACTGAGCATTATATCTCTGATCAAATAAGTAGATTCAGCCTACTTTCTTACCCAACCTGACATTTCTTTGTCACGTCCAAAACAGAGAACAAATACTCGAATAACAACCAAATTACCACAACAATACAGTTCAAATTCGGTTTGCTTGTCCTATAAAATGGTTAACAACCAGCTGAACGGATGTTTGAATAATATTTTCATGGGTAAATTAAGCATAATTTGCTTGGCAGGCCATTCGGGGTAATGACGACATTATAATCAAAACCTTGCTATGTTTGTAAACGTTGCTTTTGCCGCTGCACCGATGGAGTTGTAATACGTATAAAATCGGTGTTAGAACTTAATGACTTGTAAAGTGCTTATGTTACTGTATACTACTTGAGATAAACATAATAACATATACATATAACTTCGGTCAAGTTATTCCCCAGAGGAATAAAACGTCTAGACAACATGAATTTTTCAGCACTATTATAATTTATTGCGAAATAGTTTAATTAAAAAATTGTTTCGAGGTAAAGAAAGACGAAGAGGACACATTAAGAAAGGAAGGGAAAGTAATAGTCATTTCTCTTTCCCACTAAGACAATAATAAGTCTACTAATATTTACTACATCATAAAATGCGAGACAGTAATGACTAACCGACGAGACGTACTATAGAGTACTTTACGATGACGATACATGCTAACAAGGACCTTGATATAACATAGCCCTTTAATCCTTATCGCATTTTTTTAATTGGCGAATGCGCACACACTTTCAAATACACTCAGAGTGTAAACAAACTTGATGTAACTGCGCAGTATCAAACAATTCGCATCAGTTTTGTACACAACAAGAAAAAACCAAGGCGAACGTCTATCCACAATGTCGGTTCGTTGACACTAAAACCTCATTGGAAACACATACTTCAATTGATGTGTCATGGTGCTTATTGCAAAGGTTGTAAGGTTGGGAATCGAATGTGTGGTTATACAATAACCTTACTGTTTAGTACCGTGACAGTACTGAATGGGGGTAATTGTTTTAAGAAGCACGTTTCCACTGCGTGCAGGGAGATGCGGTGCCATAAACACAATTGAGTTTGGAAAACAGTCGCGTTGTTATTTTCGATTGATGTGTGTTCCGCGAAAATGGTTATGGAGTATGGTAGGTAGAAAGTTCTAGATGTAAAAGTCAGGTACATCAAACATTTAAAAAGTTTCTTCGCCATATCTTAAAACTCTGTTGGAATTGGGTAGTTTCCAGGGTATCAAAATTAAAAAAATAATTAGTCCGTCAGTTAGATAATGAAAAAATATTACACATGTATTTTTTTATTTTCTCGTATTAAGTTGCAATACTTAGATAAAATGACGCTTAAGGAGTGGGAGGTTGTTACGTCATAACGAGCTACAAAATGTGGCACGCTGTGACGTCACACGATATTTTAAATTAATACATCGTCAAAAGTATTTAATTTTGTGAGAAAAGAAAAAATACGTGTCTAAAGTTTTAAATTAATGTACCAGACGGACATTAAAATAAAATTCAGGAAACTACCCTATTGGTAAACGGACGCCGAATATGAAAACCAAGTCACAGACGTCACAATAAATGTTCATAAATAAATCGTATATTATATAAGCTTTAACTTTGTACCACGAAACTTTAAAGTTAATAAGATTACCTACAGAACATCAAGAAATAATTATGAATTAATCGTTTGTAATATGAGCATTTTTGTATTACGAAACTTTAAAGTAACTCCGGTACTTAATTAGTCATTGCAACCGGTTTTAAAGCCAATTAAGATTTTTGCATACGATTGTTTTTAATTAATGCATGCGAATGCATTTTTGAAGTTGCTCGAAAACCTTTGCAAGAGCTCTGAATGATATCTACGTAAGAAAATTTAATTAGTAGTAGCTCCAGAAAATATTAATTATCCCATTTTATGCAGGAATTTACTCTGCATACAAGTAATCACATTAAATCTGCTAAAACTCACACACACCGCAACAACCAGAATCGAAGTAACTCAAAGATCAAACAATACAACATAATATATTACAGTACGTTATCGCAAAAACTGCACCATTAATGATAACAATACAGAAACAACATACAATATCAATCATATAAAATTTCAAACAAACATCAATTGACATCCGACCCCTAATTTCAACCAATCACTGCAATATTTGCAACAAAAGAACTAAAGTCGTTGCACTCCAATTGGATCTGGGTCCTATTGAACAACCAGAACAGCCAATCAGTGACATAAAGCAAGACCTAAGTACCAATAGCGTCCCGGGGCACAGATCCCTTAATCAGGAAACGAGTGCAATTTATGCATTTGACACCGACCATTGTGAAGGGGGGCCATCAATGATGCGTTGGATCAAGGATGTATAAAGTACATATTATGCCTGTTATTGCTCTGAAAATTCGTACTCACTACCAGCTATTATTGTTAGGTAATATTTCTTATAACTTTCCTGTATTATACTAAATTAATTATTATGTTTTATTCACGTTATTATATGACGAGGATCTCGACTAGTTTCAAACCACGATACGAGGGTACGCTCATATTTTTGTTCGAATTTGGATAAATCTAATTTTCAGGTCCGAAAAATATAACGTATGTTTGACCTATTATAAAAAAACGAATATCATTCAGGATATAATTAGATAACCGAACATGTTTTTTCGGCAATAAGAACAGCACATACTTTTTATATATCTAATAATGATCGACATGGTCGTGTCCTGCTTTTATTAACACGATAAACGCCGCGTGGGTCACTAATGACCAACGTTGCCTTAAAAAAATATGGATTAAATCACATACTAAACTCAGCACAGATCGAACAAGCAATATTAAAACTGGATTCGCTATACTTCAGCAATACGTTATAAGTTTATAACAAATATTACTTAGCACTTGGCAAAACAAATGGGTACAGAAGGATTTACGATGGTACCTAAGTGCTTTCATGTTATTGACCGTAAAACATACATATGCATAAATGAGATAATCGAAATGTATATAAAATCTGGATCTACAATCGACACTTGTGAAAAATAAGACTGGCAATCAATTGATGGTCTCCAAATTGCATGCCAAAAGGTACAATGCGGTTGACATATCCATTTGGATAAAAACCTTTTACTCAATAAAGAATAAAAAAAGTAAAGAGACGCCAGATGGATGAGAGATGCACAAAACCGAGAGGCCTGTACAGCAGCGGGTGAACCTGGATTAAAATTATGACGATGACACGCCAGCGCATTTGTAATAAAGTAATAAATATATCAAGAATTTAGACATTTTGAAGTACCTCTATTTTTCAATCCAAAAATCTTAATAAGATAAACTCCGAATCTATAACCACAAAGATAAAACAATAACACGAGTATGTATATAAAATTACTAAAATAATCAAAAGGCACATACCTGTAACTTAAAAAATGAACTAACTAAGCCACGCACA